ATTGATTTTTAGCTGTTTGTGGGGTTGGCATCTCCAGCCCCACATTGTTCAAGGGTCAACTGTATATCTCTTTTAGAGAAAGATTCATGTGGCAGATTCTAAAATCTACTACATGTAATTTTTAAATTACTCAAATAGAGTTAGGTGTAAAATAGTATGACAATATAAATTAAGTGAATATCAGTAAAGAAAATATATGAAGTTTGAATAGCCTAATTATATGATCATATCTAAGACCTGCTGATTTTGCTGAAGATTTCTTTTTATAATATATTTTTTCTGTTGTAGTTAGAATTTGAAAGTTCTAGTAAAAACACTATGTTGTGTTTTTTGCTTACCTCACAGAGCATAGGTTTTTTATTTTATTTTAATTTACTTATTTTTAAAGATTTATTTATTTTAGAGAGAGAGAGTGCATGCACACATTGGTGGGGAGGAGGGGTGGAGAGGGAGGGAGAGAAGCATACATCCTGTTGAGCAAGGAGCTGACTCAGGGGTCCACAGGGGTTGGTGTAGGGAGTGATCTCACAACCCTGAGGTCATGACCTAGTGGAAATCAAGAGTCTGACACTTAACCAACTGAGCCACCCAGGTGCCCCAAGCATAGCTATTTTAAGGAAAGCTACATTCTTTGTGGCATGAATAAAATAATTTATGCTGACTCAAAATTGAATATATGGTCACTTTTATTCAGTAGTTTAGTATTTGGGTTTATTTTTGAGGCTTTTTTAAAATTTTTTTTATTTTTATTTATTTATTTTTTTTAAAGATTTTATTTATTTATTTGACATAGAGAGAGAGAGACAGAGTGAGCACAAGCAGGGGGAGTGGCAGGCAGAGGGAGAGGGAGAAGCAGGCTCCCCACAGAGAAGGGGGAGTCCGATGTGGGGCTCCATCCCAGGACGCCGGGATCATGACCTGAGCCGAAGGCAGTCGCTTAACCAACTGAGCCACCCAGGCGCCCGAGGCTTTTTTTTTTTTTTTTTTTAGATAAAGTGAAACAGAATGGTCAGGGCACAGATTTATATGTATTTCTGCAAAAAGCTATCTATATTACTTAAAGCAAGATAATTTTAAAGAAATGGTTTTCTAAATTTATATAAAATGCATATATCTAGAACATGTACAGAATATATGTGTAACTTGTTATACCAAATTAATGGTTAAAATGCTTCATTGTATATGTTCTCATATACTATTTCCTTGGAAGTTTTTCTGAAATACTTTGGAATTTGTTACATCAAATGGCTCCATTTACCTTTGACCCAGTTACTGTTCTCCTAGAAGAGAGAATTTAGGGTAAATTTATAAATGTGTAATGGGTTCAAAAGTGGTAGTAAAGGTGTCAGGTAGATACACATATGGTGAGGACTTAATATTTGTATCTGCATTACATTCTAATTGATGGCTTTGTCTGATGTTTGAAAAGCGTTAAATTGCTGATGTACATGTGATGGAATGCCTATTGTCAGGCTAGAAATGAAAACTCTGCCTCACCACTGCGGTTGGTTTTTAAATGATTTGTGGAGAAATGATTTTGAATGTTTGTATTAGAGGTCATAATTAGAGATGTCAAATTTCCATAGTAAATCCTGTGTGCCAAGTCTTCCTTGAGCATAAACCATGTTCTACAATTCAATTTATCAAACAACCTTTAAAGACAGAGACTCTGGTTCATTAAAATGAGAAGCAGGGGAAGTCTCAAGAACCACCTTGGGACAGTGTCTAAATAAATTAATTAATAATGCATAAACTGAACACTTAAAGAAGTAAATATCAAAATACCATGGCAAGATAGCAGGAGTTTATTGACGTTTAGGCTAAATAAGAAAAAAATTGACTAGTATTAAGAAATTGCACTATTTTATAATATATGTTAAAATAAGTTGAGTTGTGGGGTATTTAATATTACTTTACTGCCAACTTGTTAAGCTCATATTTTTATAAAATGTACACAAACATCACTTTTCTTAGTCTAAAGAATTATTCATCTCTGGACCTCAGTTTCCTCTTCTGCATTAGGAAGTTTCCTCTTCTGCATATGGACTTTAGAAAGTCTTTATTTCTACTACGTTCAAATTTTTCCTATCCTCCAGTATTTTCTTTTACCATTAAAAAAAATTTAACCAACTGTGATTTGGAGGCTTCCTCTACCAATTTATCAACTACCTCCTAACCTAGATGAATAATTACCACTAACTCCAATTATTACTCTCTTTTTTTGCTTGTCTTGATATGGCCAAAGACAAAATTCAAATGTTGTGCTTTCTTGAATTGTTTTGGAAACCAGACCAAGCTAAAGGGAGGGAGGGAGGCACGTTGGGTAGGGCAGGGGGAGGGCCTCCAGAATCATTCCCGAGGCTATTCTAATACACAATACCAAAAAACACCTCATGATAACGGTTGGCATGTCATGTAGTGTTTTTCTTTTTTATCTCCACATACAGACTAAATGTAAACAAGCAAATCACAACTAGCATATATGTATGTGAGTGTCCATGGTGAATATGATGTAACCTCCCCCTCTGCACGATATCTTACGTATAATTTCTTCTGCATTACTGAATTCGTTTCTTCAAACAATCCTACCCAGTCCTCTCTCCTCTAATACCAGGAATGTTCCTTCTAACCCATATAGCCTATGCTACACTCAATGGATGTTTTAGGCTCACTGTCTCAGTCTAATGACAACATTATGAAGTTTATATTATTATTATGCCCATTTCATAGATGAAGACCATGGGTTACACAGAAATTAAGCCTTTTGCCCAGTCACCCTTTCCTAGCTTTTTAATCTGAATCTCTGGCCCATGTGCTCCTTCCTTGTATATAGCAGTATATAGCACCCTGGTAGTTCTGGATTTTTCAAAGGGTCCATGCCCCCTGCATTCTCATTCCTCCGCATGTTTGTAAATTTTCGCCTGCCTGATTGTCATCCTTTCATGCCCCTGGTCGGCCCTAGTTAATGCTTCCTCTCTTGCCAGAAGTATCTCAGAGATCACTTTCTTGGGGAACCTTTTCCCATAGTCTGTGCTATACCCAGTCACCCCTGAGTCTCCCTGGCACTCTGCATTTTTTATTTAACACATAGGTTTGTTCATGCATTTATCTCTGATTGAATTGTTCCTTACTTGAGGAATAAGGACCCATTTATCTTTGTTTTCACTGCCTATCCCAGGACCTGGCATGCATTACTTCTCGTTATTCAGTCAACTTTGGGTAAGAATGAATCCTAGAATATAGGGTAGCAGAAGAGAAATCTAATCAGAGTTATGATTTATATTTTGTAAGATTAATATTTAATTATATTTGAATTATCTGAAAAGTTCAGAACATTTAAATTAACATGGACCTCTGCCAGCCCAGATTAGAGTTGTATATATCTATGATTCTGTGCATGATGCCACTCCCTTTCATGAAATCCCTGTTTCTATCTTTTTATTAGAATTTACTTGTTAACCACTGGCCCTAAGGCAGTTAGCTAGTCAGTTGTCTGTTGAGCTCTGTTCTTTACCCACCACAGTGGGGCTCATAGAAAAATCATAAAACATAGTGAGGGACCTTAGAATCCAGCTGGGATGACAAATCTAATACACAGAAAATTTAAGTATAAATACTCCTAATCTGCAATCATAATACACCAGTGGGTTGCTGAATTCAAACTGAAGACTACTTGTAGTTAATTAGCCCAGTTAGCCTAATACCACTCTGCAGGCTATAACAAACTGTCATCCAAAACTGTGTAGGGGAGAAAATCTCCATCTGCCACTCCTATAGCAAGGTTATGAAATCAAACTCTCCTGGCTGGCAAAAGGCTTCCCTTTTTGGAAAGGTGCCATCCCAGACTTTTATTTAAGGTTCAGTGATCCGGGCCAATTCATGTCATTAATTCCATGGAACATTTGGTCTTCTGCGGTAGGCTTAAAGTTTCCAATCCTTTTGATAACTCGTGACTATGTAACATACCATATTTTGCTTCTTGTGTTTCAATAGCATTACTACTCCACTGAGTTTTTATTTCTATTCTATCCAGAACCTTTTTTTTTAAATAGCTCTGATAATGTAAATCATCCCAGGGTCTTTTTTTTTTTTTTTTCCCTCCTTAACTTACTAAACCACAGCTTTATTGCTTCTGCCCTTAGTTTTTCCTGAAAGTGATTTTGACAATGTGTAAGCTTAAATTTTGCCTTCATTATAATATATTATCCTCAATACACTTGTACATTTGTGACTTTTTTATTCTCCTGAACTTCAAAGGAATAATTGTGTGTGTGTCTATTTTATGTTGTCTTGTAGTTTCTCCAAGTAACTTCTACTTTTATTTTACTTTTATTTTTTTGTCTTCTCTTCCTATAATAAACATCAACAGCAAAACAGAAGATTAAATAATTAACAAATACGTGATTTTTTTCTGTATGAACAATATATTTCCCCTGAATACAATCACTGAAATTTTATGGGCATCTAATATGGATTGCTGCTTTCTTTTGTTTTCACCATGGAGATTTTCATTATTATTTGTTTTGTCAACCTTAAAAGTAAACAGCCAATTATTCTACCAGCAAATGGTTTTTTTTCTGGAATAGCAGAGGAGTTGCAGGACCTGAAAACTATGGCAAACCATAGGCAAATCTGGAGATCAATGGAGAGGACTGTCGCTTTACTGTGAAAAGAAGAAAGATGGGAGGGCTGCTTTGAATGAAGGAAAGTGAGAGTTCAGGGTGGTGATGGCTTCTCATTGGCTGAGTTGTTGTATTTTCCTATTTGCTGAGCTTGTTGCCTAACAGGGAGAACATTTTCCTTTCTCCTGCTGGGGTAGTAAAGTAAGCTTCTTCCAGTTGGGAATGCAAGGTATGTCTCTTACTGTTGGGATCTGTCATTGGCTGAGGGCAGGGTGTGATAGCTTCCCCTTTTGGTCTCCCCACTCCAACTTAAATGAGGTTTCCTTTATTCAGTTTTACAGCTTATTTTAAGAAAATATGCTTCCCTTATTTCCACAGGTAAAAAGATGGCCTATCAGAAGGTCAATGCAGATCAAAGAGCACCAGGACACTCACAGTACTTAGACAATGATGACCTTCAAGCCACTGCCCTTGACTTAGAGTGGGACATGGAAAAGGAACTGGAGGAGCCTGGTTTTGACCAGTTCCAACTAGATAGTGCTGAGAATCAGAACCTGGAGAATCCAGAGACTGCAGATCTCAATCTTGATTCCATTCAACCAGCAACTTCACCCAAAGGAAGGTTTCAGAGACTTCAAGAAGAGTCTGACTATGTTACCCGTTACACAAGATCTGCACCAAAGAGCAACCCCTGCAACTTTTGCCGCCTTTTAAAAATACTTTGCACAGCCATCATTTTATTTATTTTTGGGATTTTGATAGGCTATTATGCACTTAAAAAGTGTCCTTCCAATGCTACGTCTTCAGCACCGCTTGATCTTCAGTTATACCAAGAGATTCTCCAGACAATCCAAGCAGAAGATATTAAGAAGTCTTTCAGGTAGGTGGAGAAGAAATGGATGTTGGTGGAATGCATTTCCTGGGAAAGATGTCTCACAGAGAGTATTGAGTTGGTGATTTTGCCATGGTTTAAGGTTAGTCCAGCAAGCTGAGCAACAAAGCTTACCAACATACCCTTCACCGAGAGGGTGCACATTTCAGATTTATGATACTGTAATATGAATTTATGATGCTGTTTTATTAATTGATAATAAGAACCACAACTACTGTGGAGACTAAAAGATTCCAGGTACTGCATATTCTCCCTCTTGGGAAGCCCAGGTAGGCCAAATTGAGATGCAAAGACAGCTGGGTATATGTGTCATAAAAACTAGGGCATTAGCCATATGATTGAAAATTTTAATGACACCGGACTGAAATAAACCTCTTTTATGGGCTGAAGTAACTGTCTCTTATGGTTAGGAGCTAAGATAAGCACTGATAGTATTTGGTTTCCTGCATCCTTGGGCTTCTCAGTGAGCACATTTTTATTGAAAAACATTGGGTTCCGTATATCAGGCAGTTCTAAAAGTTCATTTGTCTCTCTAGGGTAAGTTTGCACATGACCTCTTTAGCCAGAATGTGTTGATTTTTAAGTTAAATGATAAGAAAATATTCTTTCACTGGCATTAATTCTGAGTTCTTGGGAGAAGTTTCACTATTGCCATATAAAGGGTTTACTAGTTTACATTTTTAATGAAATGAAGAATTGGAATAGTAGCTTTCCCATGTATTTTCCATATGTGCCAAGAAAGGACAGTCCTAAGTGAATCATATATGTTGTTCATGGGTAGATGAGAGAAAGGGATACTACTTCCCCAGGATATTCTTCCTGGATTACACTGGCTTATTACAGCCAAGCTGTTGGCATATGTGCATTTTTAGGGATCTTCTAGTGAGCATACCCACTGAAAATGGATCATTGAATATGTGTTAAAATGTCATGTGTATTGATGTTGGTGAGTTATTATTCTCTTCCTAAAGATCACATCTGAATGACTAATGGCAATTTGTTTCCTACACCTTTCTGTGTCTGCTATTCACTGTTGAATAAGCATGTAATATGCAGATAATAAGACTTCCCATGATATTTCTCTATGTAAAATTGTTTGTATAGCATTATAGTATGGTATTAATTGTTTAATAGAATTAATATGCCATTATCTTAACAATGAGTGATTGTAGCAGTCAGGATCTAACAGACAACAGAAAACTCTCTGGAATATTTAAAGCAGAGGGCACTGAAAGGAGAGAAATTACTCCATCAAAGGTAAAATCTAAGAGGGCAGTTGGAACAGTGAGGCAACCCAAAGAAAAGAGGCCATTACTAAGCCTAGGCTGGAGAGACAAAGGGGGCTGGGGTAACCTGGTGGAAGCTGGAGCTTTCTACAAACACAAGTGCAGGGGGGTGGAGATGTAGCCTCAGCTACTGAAGGCAGAGAGAAAGTAAGAAGTACCACAGCTTCTCCCTTTCTCCTCTTCTGCAGTATCCTGCTGGTTATCCCACTGGCTGACCCCAGCAGGGGTACTGCTGACTCAGAGCCTAGGAAACTCTTTCTGAAGGGTTCAGCTCCCTGGAGGAGGGGGAGGGGTCTGTATGCCTTTTGTGTACTAACTGGCCTATGTATTTATTTTCTTTCTCTGGCTTTCTTTGCCTTATTTTTTACCCCAGCATTGTAGACAACTTTAAAAACTGATTTATGTCCTTTTTGCAAACAGGCAGCTGGTTCTAAAATTTTAAATGTATAATTAAATAAAAATATTCATTATTCTCCTCAGAATAGGAGTTGCATGACAGTAAGGAGTATATTCTCCTCTTAAACTTGAAAACCAACAAAATGTATATTTCAAAGCTAGCTACAAAAATATAACCACTAGCAATTATATTGCCAGGCAGTATTCAGTGGTTGTCAATATTCACAACTCTACTCCATCAAATAGCCACATATTTTTCTTGAGATAAGAGATGTTTCTTTAATCAATATTTTGGTACAAATATGTTTACAGTAACTTTCTCCAAATAACATCTCCTCATCCAAAACAACCTTTTCCCTAATAGTCATGCTAATGGCATGCCTTATTACGAGTATCTGCCATTCATATGTTGTGATCCTGATGGTCAACATGATGGTATTAGGAGATGGGGCCTCTGGGAGGTGTTTAGGTCATGAAGGTGTATCTCTCATAAATAAGACTAGTGATCTTATAAAAGGAGGCTCCACAGAGCCCCCTAGTTCTTCTACCATGTGAGAACACAGTGAGGAGGTATTCTTTATGAACCAGGAAGAGGGATCTCACCAGCCACTGAGTCTGCCAGTGTTATGATCTTAGACTTCCCAGCCTCTAGAGTTACCAGAAATGTTTATACGCCAACCAGTCTGTGGTATTTTGTTACGAAGCCCAAACGGACTGGGGGTCGGAGAGAGAAGAGATGTGGAAGGGAGATGTTTTACAGATCTTTTCCAATAAAGCTTCCTGGATGGCTAAAAAGAACTTATCAGACAGAGCTAGAAGTATGGGGCTGTGGAAGGAGTAAGTATTGGAGCTGGAGGAGAATGTATTACCCATATCAAAGGAAGGTGAGAAGTCCCAGGTGTGGGATGAATGGATCTCCAAAGAACCCACCAGGCAGACACAATAGGAAAATTCAGTTGACAACTCCAGCTAGATTCAGAAGGTACCATGCCAGTTCATGAGAGTATCTGTCAAGTGAGAACCTTTTGCTCCTGCTTTACCTATTCTCACTCGCTCCGTTTCGGCCCTGAAGTTAGAGACACGCAAAGCAAAGAAGCTGACTGCCCTCCCTTCTTTGACTTTAGGGCTTCCAGTTTAAAGATGGTCAAAAGTGGGAAAAAGTTCAAAGTTCTGACTATTAAATGACACTGAACATTTTAATTGCTCACTAGAGGAACTCAAGTCACATAACAGTCACGAGGACTAATGGAGTTTTGTTTTTGTTTTGTTTTGTTTTAATCTAGGAATAGGAAAAAAACTAGTCCCAATGAATAAATGTAAATGGAAGAGAAGTACTTTATGATTCCATTCCCTGAGTTAAAAGTTGTCTAATATAGAGGTTACATATGGGCTATTTTTATGCTTAGTATTATAGAAAAGTACACATTTGAATGATTCATAGGGAGTCACTGATAGACATATTGACTGTATATCCTAGTTTAAGAAACTAATTGTCCCATAATAAAGCCCACATAATACACCATCTTAAGCCAAGTACTTGGGATGTTGACCAAATAAAAGAAAACCAATCAGAAGTTTAGTTACACTTGATCCCATTTGTAGACATGGTCAAGATTAGCATAGGAATATGAAGACCATGTTAGTGCGTGTGTAAACGTATGTGTGTGTGTATATTAATCTTCTAATATGATTCTCTCAGTCACTTCTATGTGTAACTTGTTGCTATTTGAAAAAATGTCTTCACTTTTTTACATTGGTTTATTTCTTCCACATATCTTCTGTGTAAGCCAACAGGGTATATTCAGATATATAGCAGATATATTCTGATGGGTCGGAATCAAAATAGGCCATTAAAAGTTGTTTTATTGTATGCTTTTGGTGCGTTGGAACAGTAACCACTTAGACAATGCAAGTTTATTGTAAGCATCAAAAGAGAAGGGTGGGCCCATACAATAATCTATGAATAGGAATTATTCACTTGATCGGGCCTTATTCATATAGAATCTGGATCCAGTTAGCTCCAGGGACCTCAATAGCCATACTCCTCTGATTTTCACTGAAGTGTTGAAACACCAAAGTGACTTAACTCCCTTTCCATCTGTACTACTTTTTGTCTGCCTTATTTTTTTTCTTCTCCCAATACCAACTGCTATATCCCCCAGTATATGATTCTACCATTCCTATTCCCCAGAATGAAATATTATTTTGAGGGCCAGAGGCATTTGTGACTCTGTGTCAAGTGTTTATCCCTGGTCTAATCAGCTTTGGCCAGTTGGGATGCTAGTCACCCTGTATAAAATATGTTAACTAGAGCTGTTGAGAGAACTCTTTAACTTAGAAGAAGCTTCAGTGTGACAGGTATAATGTTTTATGTATATTATATAATGAAGTCACTGAGCCTTTATCACATATTTATCACATATATTGTTGAGGGAATGACGTGTGTGTGTGTGTGTGTGTGTGTGTGTTAAAGATCATAAGCACATTGCTGAATAAAGTATGTTAAAAACTTCAAACTTTAGTTACCAAATATAATACTCTAATAATAAGATATTTGAAATGGATGAACTAATGAGGTTTAGTATATTTTTGAATGCAGAAATGTGTTGACTTTTGACAGCTATAGATGCTGTGAAATGGTGAGAAAGAAAACGTGCTGTATTTTAATTATGGCTAAAATGGAAGTTTTTGTTCTTTTTTAAATGGAAAGAACATTGTTGTTTTTCTTGCTTACAAGTAAAATATATAGAGAAAATTAGAATTAATAAAGTAAAAACCATCCATACTCCTATCATCCTCTTTCATCATTTTCTTTCTTTCTTTTCCCATCAATAACCAAAATTGTATTATAACACATCTGTTCCTTTGATATCTGCTTTAGAATGCTTTTGCCTACAATATATTTAGAATCATTTTTCAAGCCAATAAGTATAGATTTAAATCATTATATGAAAATACTGCTGGTATTCCATTATATAGATGTCATGAATTTATTGAACCTGTTTCTTACAAATGGACATTTACGTTGTCTCTACAAACATTCTTGTACATAGGTCTTTGCTTCTTTAATTATTCTTTTCTGATAGATTCCTGGAAACAAATCACAGATTCAGGGAGTTTAAATTTGTTTAGTTATTTGCTTTGTCTTGCCAAATTGCTTTTCAGAGCTGCCAACCTTCCAGTCCATAATTTGTTTTGATAGGCCAAAAATAATTTTGACAAGCTTTTTATATCTTAATTGACCGTTTGCATTTCTTTTTACATGTATGAACTACTTTTTAAATAATTTCCCCATGGTTTTTATAG